TCAGCATTATTATGATGAAGAGCCCCATTCAACTGAAACAGCTTTAAGTGACTGGTATTAAAAAGTGGCCAGCAAGGAAGAGCAGTGTGTGTGTGTTGATAATAATAGAAGGCCTTGGGAGCTATCAGAAGGTATATGCTGGCAATACGAAACTGGTTAGTTTTTAGTTAATTTCATTAGGAATTAAATTAAGAATTCAATTAGGAATTAGCATTAGTTCATTTCATTAGAATTTTGGGAGCTTTATCTTTACGTTTGACCACTGAGGCTAATCTGAAATAACCACTGTCAGGAGCTCACGTTCCTTGGTGCAAGGTACACTGGCTTATGTCTCTATATTGACAACAGTCCAGTGTGGAATGACAGCAGGGTAAGTCCTGCTTTTCTTGGCTATGACTCCAAGAACTTGGTTGGAGGGAATCTTCGTTAGATGTGTAACTATATTCCAGAATTGGTCAGTTTAATGACTGCAGGGTGAGAGCCCATGTAGGCATGCTGGAAATCTGTACCAGTACATTCTTTTTTGTTTGTTTTGTTTTGTCTCAAATGACTTTCAAGGAAAGTTCTACTTCAAAGGTTACATAAGAGTAGATCTATTTTCAGTGGAGCGGTGACTTCGAAGCTCTGAAGAGTCTTCTAAAATATGAAAAGGCTAGCATTAAATGGTTTATTGCATTGCTAAACTCACAGGATGTAAGATAAATTTCCAAGGAGAAGAAAAAAAACATCAAGGAACTTGAAACATGTTGTTTCTTTGAGATCAAATGCTATTTTCAATGCTACAGTAGCAGACTGGGATCTGAGGCAGTACTAAGAAGACAAGGGTAAGCCAGAGATTCTTAGATCAAGCCTGGGATGCCAGGAAGAGAATAATGTGGCTTGAAACCAGCAGGTTCCAGTGACAAACACAAAAGGACTACTGAAAAGTAAACTCCTCATTTTACACCTTCCTATTTTTTTACACTTTAACCGAATCTGAATTCCATCATAAGTGAGAAGTGGAACAAGAGTTAGACAATAAGGACCTTGTGCAATGAAATAAAAAAAACCTTATAAAATGCTCTAAGAATTGAAATAGGAAAATAAGCAAGCAATCAGAAACAACAAAAATTTACAAAAGATTAAAAAGAAAACTCCTTAGTTTATTGCCTACGCTTCTTTGATCTTAAACAAAAATCTTCACCGATATCAATGTCTTGTAGTATTTCACTTACTTTATTTTAGCAATTCATTGATTTCAGGTCTTTGTTCTAAGCCTTGATCCAATGTATACAGGATGAAGATAGGGGTCTTGTTTCATATTTCTGCAAGCAGAGATCCAGCTTCCACACTTTTCTCCTGGGAGTGATCTGAGCTCATCTGTCAAAGACTAGTTGTTTGTAGATGCGTGGAGTAATTTCTGGAGTTTCTAATCTATCCCATTGGTCCACATGCCTCCTTCTACGTCAGCACCAGGCTATTTTGATTTTAACTGACTCTACTATATCTTGTATAGGCAATAAGACCAAAAACAAATAGGATTAAAACAAGCTAAGAAGCTTCTGCAAAGCAAAGAAACATTCAACATAGTGAGGAGACCACTATAAGAATCAACAAGAATATTTATAAACTATACTATATCTGATAAGAGATTAATCTCTAAAATATACATGAAGCTCAGTCCATTTAAGAAATGGGAAAAGGATGTGAACAGGCATTTTCCAGATAATGAACCATAAATGGACAATGGACACATGAAAAAAAAAATCTCAGGATCACTAGTCATCAAGGGAAACACAAATAAAAACCAAATGTTGTTTAACCTTATACCAGCTAGAATGACAAAAACAAAACTATTGAAAAGCAATGCATTTCATTAAAATAAAAAAAATAAAACAGTTTCAGAGAATCACGATGACAGAATGGGGTAAGGACACATTTAAACAGACAGAGAAACATTAGCTAGTGTGAAGCAGAGAGGGTACATTCCAGCAAATAGGAGAGGACAGAATGACAGCAGAGGGGCACCTGGAGACTGACAGACATGGGAAAGCAGTGGACACCACGTTGTGGTATTGCAATGATCAATATCCAAGTGGCAACAGCAAGTGGTGATTTGAACTGCACCGGCAGCCAGAACTATACCAGCAACCAGGTAGGAAGGTTGCTCAAGAGGTGAACTCAAAGAACTGCCCACCCTGCTGGTCTGTTTAATTTGAACATGAGCAGAGACAGAGCGACATGTCCCAGACTGGTGGTGCAGGAACAGGGTAGATTTTACAGAACAGTTCACCCCCTAGGCCTGAATTGGGTGCCATTTTGTAGAGGGAGGCCAAGCTAAGGCACAGTACTGCATGTGTAGTGAGCTGGGAGTGAACTCATTCCTGGCTCACCTAATTGCAACAATGTGGCATCCTACAGGTTCCACTAATATAGGTCAGAGTGACCCTTATACCTGATATCCAGCAGATGAAGAACTCTAGGCACATCAGGCACCATGTTGTACAGTGTAGAAAAACTTTAAGACTGCAGGGACAAAAGTGAGCTGCACAGGTGCTGAGCTGGGAGAGAACTCAGAGCTCAGTGCATTGCATTGGTCACAGAGGGGAAAAAAATACTAACTTTGGCATTGGAAAGGTCAAAATCAGTCTGTGTGGCCATAAGACTTAAAAGTGAACAGTTTCCGGCAAGATCAGCACCACCAACAATCTAGTTATATAGCACACCTGGTGTCCCCAGTCCTGGGAACTGCCCTAACAGGAAGTGGGAGAAAGGTTATACAGAAAACAGTGCAACCTCAGCACAGTACCACAGGAGGTGGAGAGTAATGAGCCAGGAGCTGGGGCTACAAAGAACATGGTGAAAATTTAACATAAGAATCCAGACCTGGAACCTGCTGGAGAGAGTGGCACAAGCAACTATAAGCAAAGAACCTCGTGCAGCACACAGTAAGGAAAAGCAAATTGTAGACCTGTGGGTGACACAGCTTAGAAACCTGTCCCATGGAGAAAAATCTGATAACCAGAAGTACAATGACCAAGAGCAAAAGAAGAGACAAAGGCACAATGAACATTACTGAAGATTCCCCTGCAAAGGAGCAAAACCCTTTGCAAACCTCAGAGTTAACTGAAGCAGACATCGAGAAAATGGGGGACATAGAATTCAAAACTCTTTTTATAAAGCATCTTATCCACAACAAGAAGCACATAATATAGGAGCTCAAGAATTTAAGGAACATGTCACATAGGAAATGAATCAAATGAAAGCTGATATATCAAGAATTTAAGAAAATAATGGAGCAAATTAAAAGTACAGTGGAGTCTCCAAAATACAATGAATGAAACAAAAGAAAGAATCTCAGAATTGGAAGATACTTCCTGTCACCAGCAGGAAACAAACAAAAAGCTTAAAGCAGAGCTGGGTCAAGCTGAAAAAAAGGATTCAAGAATTGAGATACTATTAAAAGGTCACATGTAACAGTAATGGGAGTCCTACAAGGTGTAGAAAGAGAAGCTGGCTTTAAAAAATATATTTAATGAATAAGGGAAATTTTCTCTAATCTAGAAACACAATTGGGAAAGAACATCCAGGAGGGGCACAGAACTCCCAACAGGCTTGATCAAAAGCTATCTTTCCCAAGACACATGATAATCAAGCTCTCTTCAGTCAAACATAAGGGAAAAGATCTTGAAATTGACATACAGAGGAATGGCAATTAAATTCACAGGAGATATTTCATAACAGCCACATCAACAACAACAACAACAATAACACCAACAACAAATTATAGCACCATGATTAAATAATGCGCCACTGAGTAACCAACACATGCATGACAAAAAGGAAACACAGAAGTCTCTTGGGAAAAATGATGCCATCATATAATTCATGAGCACGTGATGAATTCGACAAGTGATAGACAAGAGATTATTTGGAAGGAACCAAACTGAAATAAAAACATCAAAACACATGGAATACAGCCAAGAAAGCAGGCAAACAAAAAAACTGTATAGATTGGATTGTTGGAGTTAAACTTTTCATGTTGCTTTCCTTATATGAGAGAGAATATATGGTATTTGTTCTTTTGTGATTGACTCATTTCACTGAGCATAATGGTTTTTAGTTGGGACTACCTGGTTGTAAATAGAATAATTTCATTCTTCTTAATAGCTGAATAATATTCCATGGAGTAGATGTACCAAAGTTTATTTAATCACTCTTCCTTGGACGCTCATCTGGTTTGTTTCCATGTCTTTGCTATTGTAGATTGTGCTGCTGTAAACGTAAAACCTAATATACTTTTAAGACCCTATGCCACTCAGAAATGGGGAGGGAGAGCAGAGAAATCTTCCATCTCCTCAGAAAGTGTGAGAAAGACGTGAAGTATAACCTATCAGCATCATAACAGCAATAGACAATAGTAAAACTACAAAAACATACAGGTGGAATCAAGAGTGATCCTGACAACCTCTTAACAGGTGGTCATACGCACAAAGTAGGGGGGACCCCAGGGTGGAGCAGGTGGACAGAAGGAGGCTTGTATCCCAACCCTGGGGACTCTCGGATCCTCATCAAGGACTATCAGTATGGGCACCAGGAACTACATCCCAACTGCCAAGGAGACACGGGGAACTGGAATGCCTTCAGAGGCCAAGAACTCTGGATCTACCAGATGGGATGGCAGAAGCCCAAACCCTTCCTTGCAGGATCCAAGGTCACTGCAATCATAAGCTTCCTTCAGGACTAGGCAGAGGAACTTTCTCTGGTCCTCACTTAGTTCCATCTTTGGATACTCACCCTAACTTGCAATGACCATCAGGTTTGCTCCAGAGCCCCCCACCCCAAAACACACACACACACACACACACACACACACACACACACACACACACACACACACACACACACACACACACACACACACAAATTGGAATAGACAGAGAACAACAAGGAAAGCTTGGAATCAGAGAGAAAATGATCAGTGTGGACTCACACATGCCTTACTAGGTAGAACACAAAGATTAGTTACTCCTCACTATATTGAAGATTTCTCTGCACACCCCTCGTAAAACTGTTCTGCACCTAAACTGTTGACGTATGCCTTGTTAGAGTCTTGTAAATCTGTGAAGTTCAACAAAATTAAGCTTCAACATTATAAGCTGCTGAATGCTAAAATGAAAATAGTCACAAGACAGCTGAATAGTACCTATAGCCATTTTAAGATGTATAGAAGCCAGTTCTGTGTATAAATTAAGATTGAAATGTCAATGAAGTAGTCACAGGATATAGTTAAGAACTTGCATTTTTAAAACACATTTGTTACTCAATAGCATGTCAATTAATTCCATAATGTTGTAAATTGAAGTTGATGTTATGTTGTGCCTTTAAATTGATCGGGATGATATTCTGCCAGCTCTACTTCAGACCAGAGACGGTCTCCCCAAGAAACCATTGAATTGATCTGGACAATAAGATGCTGGACTCTATACTTACAATGAAAGAATCTTGACGGAATCCAAGGTGGAGGAATCCAACATGGGAGGGGAGGGTATGGAAGGGGTTGGGAGAAACACAGAGTCTATGAGACAGTGTCACATAATGCAATGTGAACAATAAAAAATAATACAAAAAAATTCACAGGAGACCTCTCACAGGAAACTCTACAGGCAAGAAAAGAATGGAGCAACATATTCCAGATTCTAAAAGAAAAAAATTGTCGGCCCAGGATAACATACCCAGCAAAACTTTCCTTTGTTTTTGAAAATGAAATAAAATTCTTCCACAGTAAAGAAAAGCTAAAAGAATTTGCCTCTTACAAACCTGCCCTACAAATAATACTTCAAGATGTTCTCTTGACAGAGAAGAGAAATAGCTCCCACCAAAACCAAAGGTAAATGTGAAGACCATCCCAGTAAAATGACAATAGAAGACTAAACCAATGAACAACCCATTGCTAAATTGACTGGAAAAATTACCACCCATACATATTAATCCTGAATTTAAATGACTTAAACTCATCAATCAAATGTCACAGATAAGTATACTGATTAAAAACAAAACAAAACAAAACCTATCTATTTTTTTTTCTATAGGAGATATATATCTCACTAATAAAGATCAGCAGAAAGTATATCTCATGGATTTTGATTTTTTTAAAGTTTCCTCTCTTCAAGATACTTTCTTTCTCATTAAATTCTTCACTGACTCATAGATTTACAGCAGCATCATTTTCTTCAATAATACCATTTTTGAGGGACACATTAGTCATTCAGTAGCATGTTATTTAACCTCACGGCATTTTTAATTTCTCTTTTTCTTCCTTTGGTTGATTTTGTTTTACGGCTTTTCATTTAAGGAGATGTACAGTAACTGAGTAATGGAGACTATCATATCCAGATGTGAGGATACAATGTACTATGCATCTCTACTTCCAGATCAATGACGCATTCCCAATTAAACTGTTAATTGTATCTTGACAATAGGATGCTGGACTCTGCCATTGTCCATATTCGCAATGATGGACATATTACTGTTTATGAAGAACTATGCTATAGTAATAATATAGAGAAACTCATTGGCAGTGCGGGGAGGGAGTGGGATTTGGAGAAGGGGTAAGAGAAATCCCAGGGCTTATGGTACTGTATCATAAAATGATACTAATAACAATTTCAAAAAGTAAAATAAAAAAAAATAAAATACTGAAACAAAAATAAATAGAAAATTTTAAAAAAGTGAATTAAAGTAAAAAGAATTCCTTTGGGAGGCAGAAATAGACACAGACAGAGACAGACAAAAGATCTTCCATGCACTGACTCTCTTTTCAAATAGATGTAATTGCTAGCGCTAGGCTATGCCAGAGCCAGGGGCTGGGAATTCAATCCAGGTCTCCGGTTTAAGTGGTCGTGACCCAAGCACCTGAACTTGCTGCCTCCCACGGTGCATGTTAACAGAAGCTGAGTTGAGAAGTGGAGCTGGAACTTGAACCCAGGCACTCCAATATGCAGGTGTCCAAAGCACTAGGTCAAATGCCTGCCCTTAATACTGTATATTACCACGTGACTAAATTGTTTAGTTTTGACAAAGTTTTCTAAAAGTCTTTTAAAAATTGCCCTTTTGGAAAAACAATTCTTACCTGAAAACAATTATTTTCTTAGTTAATTGTGTGTCTGGGCAGAATCAGCATATAATTTTACAATTCTTATTGGCTCTACTAAAAATGTAACTGAACTATACTCATACATGTAAGTTTGATATGATCCTGCTACTATATTCTTTACTAGAAGAACATCATGAAGTCACATCAGTAACCACTGTGAATTTTGTAGGTGTTACTGCTGCTTTAAAGATTCATTTTATTTAATTGGAAAGGTAGAGAAGGAGAGTCAAGGAGAAAGATTTTCCATTTGCTCAACACTCCCCAAATGGCTGCAACAGCCAGAGCTGAGCTGATGCAAAGCCAGGAGCCAGGAGCCAGGAGCTTCCTACAGGTTTTCCATGTAGGTGCAGGGTTCCAAGATTTTGGGCCATCCGTCTTCCACTGCTTTCTCAGGCCACAGGTAGGGAGCTGGATTGGAAGTGGAGCAGCCAGCGCATGAACCCAATGCTCACATGGGATCCCAGTGCCTGCAAGATGAGGATTTAGCCATTCCATCATTCTGGGCCCTTTTGTTTGGTTCTTCAAATGAAAAAGCAGTATGTCAAAGCCACTGGTGCTGCTGCCAAAGCTAAGGAGGGTGAAGGGAATATTTGCCCCAGTTGAATACTTTGAGTTTCAAATTTGGATGTTTAAGAATGGCATAGGGTAATCTATTTCAGCCCTTTAGATCTTCCAGTTTGAGTGTTTCTGTCCAAAGACATGACTATGTTGGCAGAAGCAACTAATTATTATCTTCAAGAGTATCAATAGGATACATACTCAAAAATAGAACACTGAAACAACAATGATTTTACAATGCAGTTATGATTCATTTGCCATATTTATTGTCATAATTCAGGGCTGGGGGTGGAAGCTGTTCAGTAACATGCAGAGAGACTGAAGGAAGTTGGTCAGAATTCAAATTTTTACAAATCAATAAGGCAAATAAACCTATTACAGTAATTAAGAATACCAAGCTTTATTTGCTTTCTGTAATTAGCTCCAATGTTAGCAAAGAACCAGAAAAACCAGTCTACTTGGGAAATGGTTATCTCTTTGATTCTGTCACACACACAGTGCCCATGGAGTCCCATAGGATCATGTCAGAGCCGGCACTGCCCTCATCCTTCATCCTTCAGAGAGATCCTTCTTTAGCCCAACTCCTGGCTTCCCAATCAAGCACTTTTTTCAGTCTGACAAAACTAAGGTTGCATAAAGGCAGATAACAGGTTGCAAAAGTGCAAGCTTACCTTTGTGAAATAAATAAGAAAATGCACACTATTCTGAAAGGCACTAGGAAAATCTTAACCATTAATGGCTATTTATGCTTCTATGTTGGTCTTGCATGTGAACTGATTTTCCTCCATTAAAGAAAGCTAACTATATTTACATTATAGACTGCCTCAAAAGTCAATAATGCAAAATAAAATATGAATGCAAAAGAGTAACGTGTCAATGAGTGTTAGAAGGAGAATAAATATTAATGAGAGTAAATGTAGTGCCCCTCAACTCTTCCTTGTGGATTGAAGGAAAAGCAATGGCTATGATTTTATAAACTGCAAGTTGAATGGCCTGAAAATCTTTAAATAGTTCTGTGTAACTACAAGGCATAATGCTTCCCAGCCAACTTTGCTGAGCTCTTGTGTTCTGGTTGCTGCTAACTAAACAGTGACCACACACTCAGGATCAGTGAGTGATAGGCAGAGGCAAGGAAGGAAACTGACAGGAAAACAGACACATGAGGAATTTCCTGAGATTATTATAAGTTGATGCTTTTGACACCTCTCAAGCACCTCTTCTTTGAAGATGCTGGCAACAGAAACAATTTCCAGGGTTAAATATACGGAAAAAGCCTTCTCCTTTGCAATATACTTGCACTTGAAGTTTTGTATTTGAGTTACTAATTGTTATAACACTTAAGAAGATTATCACTTAAGAATGGCTCCTAACAAAAGGCAAACTGTAAAAGGCATTGTGCTAAGATGTGAATATACAGAGGAAAAATTTGCTATAATTCACTCGGATGAAAGACCAGACTCAATTGAACAATGATAAATACTTTTGCTCACATACTAAGCACTGAAAAAGCAGCATAACCATTTCCTGTGACTTCCCACTTAGCTTACATTTGCAAAATCTTTTAAACATAAATATACATATACGTTATGATAGTAAATAAGCTATCCATGTTGAGTACTCATAGTATTGAAAAGTATTATTTTAAATCAAGTATACATGTTTTAAAATATTGTAAGCAGATATGTAGCACCTTAATAAACATTCTTCTATGAAAAGTAATAAAATCAAAAGGCCTTTATTCTATTAATTATCTTCAATAATATTTTTTCGTTAAGGCAGATTTCTCCCTAAAGACACAGACAAGTCTAAAATATATTTTAAAAGTAGAATCTTTGATTGACTACCAATATAAACTAAAGTCTGAACTATCAATGAGTGCCCACAAGACCATTGTATTCTTGTTTGTTTTTTGAAATTCTGAGTTACAGTGAAGGAGAAGGAGAGATGGAGATTGAGAGCAAGAATAAGCCAGACAGCAGCAGAGATCTTCTTTCCAATTGTTCATTCCCCAAATGGCCACAACGGCCAGGGTTGGGTCAGGCTGAATCCAGGAAAAAGAAACTTCTTCTGGGGTCTCTCACTTGGATATAAGGGCCCAAACACTTGGACCTTCTTCTGCTTTTCCAGGCATATAAGTAGAGAGCTGGGTAAGAAGTGGAGCAGCCAAGACTCAAATAAGTGCCTATATGGGATGTTAGTGCTGCAGATGGTAGCTTTACCCACTAAGTACAGCGCTGCCTCTCACAATACTTTTTAAATAGCATCAAATTAATTATTTGAAAAATGATATGGGTTTACCTAATTTAACTTTTATGTGGGATTGCCTTAACAATGATCAAAATAACCAACTAAAACATCAATTGTTTAGCCTAAGTAAAAGAATGTATATGAAATGGTTGTTTTTCAAAAAGTTATCCTTTTGCAAAAATTTGAAATCATCCTTAAACTATCTGCATATGAGCCAAAAGTTTCATCTGAGAGGAAGAATAGCTACTGCAGGTCCAGTTTCAACAGAAATACCACAAATGTTGGGTTCTTACAGTCCAAACAGATGAGCATTACTACAGTTCTTTGCAACAAATGAATTCTCAAGGTATGTCCTAGACCCATCAGTCAGTGGCTGAGTGTGTCCAGATAGCAGAAATAAGCAGAGCAGCAAGCAGAAAGTTCTAGTTGAAGCATTTAAAGAGATGACAGGAGTGGTGGGAGGAAAATGGATGTTACTCACAGTGTGCTTCACACACCTGCAACCTGTATTAGAGTGTCTGAGATTGGTTCCAACTCTGATCCCTACACACCTTCCTGTTAATGTACCTGGGAGGCAGTAGATGGTTCAAGCCGTTGGATGCCTGTCATTCTAGTGGAAGACCTGGTAGGCATTCTGGGCTTCTGGCTTCAGCCTGTGCCCGGCCTCAGGTATTACTGGAGAATGAACCAGTGCTGGAAGAGCTCCTTCTCTCTCTTCCTCCCACTCTCTGTCACTCTATTTTTCAAACAAGCAATAAACTTTAAGAGACGGGCTACTGTCATTAAATTTAGATCATCTACTTTGTTGCTGGGGAAGAAAAATATTCTTTGTCCTAATGATATAGATTGGTTTCTTGATCAATAAATATTGTCATATAACTGTTTTATTATTGCCAAGAGACCTGACTAAAAATGACCCAAAGGTGGTCTTTCTGAGATTCCTGCTTTGGCTTCCATCTTGGTTTGAAATGGGTAATTTCTCATAAAAGCATTCTAATTTAAGATGAGAAACATATCAAAAAGCCCACAGAAGAAGCCAAGCAGAAAGATCTTATAATCTTTAAAGGATACAGGTAAACACAAAGGTTCATGATTGAGAAACTCTCATGTCAAATATCATTTTACCCCAACTAGTAGAATTAAGATCCACTCAGCAAACTGGTCAGATTCTATCACTCAAATTATACAGCCAGCCTTAATGCTGATATTGGACTTAAAAATCCTCAGGCTATTACTGGATTTTGTGTTTTCCAAAAATGGAATAAAAATTGGGGTAGTATTTCTACTTTTATTCTTATGAGTTCATGACCTCAAACATTTCTGGATTATCAACTACAGAGGAAAGACAAAAGAACTAAAGGCAGGGAGAGATGAAAGCAGGGAAGAAACTGCTGGAAAGATCATGAAACATTTAGGCCTCAATGTTAATTAATTTAAGAGATGGTACAAACATAACTATGTGGTTACAGAGAGTGAAACAATCTCCTACAAAAATATAACATCCCACGGCTCTCTAGAAAGAACTTGCACTAAGAGAAGAGGCTGTGTAATAATTTTATCAGTAACAAAGCCACCCATGCAGATTAAGAAGTACAGACATTTGATTCTAAAGAGATCATGATGGAAGCTTTGTTCTTCCAGAATAAAGGCCAACTGCCACTACTAAATTCAGCACTAGGTTTGTTCACTTTCAAAGATCAAACATTATAGTGTCAAGGTCAACACTGTAGGGTTCGGTAGACACTTTTTCATATTTTTGAGTGTGTGAGGAACAGATCAAGCACAGAATTAGCCATAATTTCAGGTCATTTTTTTGCATACAGGAATTGCCTGGATATCCTGTGCAAATTCAAATTCAGATTCAGTAAGCATGGTTCTCAAGAGCTGCACATTTTTCATAAATTTTCATGCCTTGTGGTCGTAGAAGCTGCCTGAGCTATCTGTAAGCCCCAAGATTCCAGGGCAACAGCTCTGAAGGTCTTTCCAACCCATAACTGTGATAATGTCACACAAACCATTGCAACAGGGTTAAGTGCTTTACATTATCAAAGGGGCTGGTAAACGGGGTTTATATTATCAAAAGATGAAGGCTTTTGCCACACACTGACCACTTGTGTGAAAAAGAACTGAGTTGTCCTGAACCGCAATTTTGATTGATGCTCTGTAGTTGTTACAAGTGACCATATGGCCACAGAAACAGAGTGAGTACTGAAGTACAGAGGAGATATTAACCACTCCTATAAGATATAGTGGTCTTCCTATGTCTTTTCA